TTTGTTTGTTTGTTTGTTTTTGAATTTCGCGCAAAGCTGCACGAGGGCTATCCGCGCTAACCGTCCCTAATTTAGCAGTGTAAGACTAGAGGGAAGGCAGCTAGTCATCACCACCCATCGCCAACTCTTGGGCTACTCTTTTACCAACGAATAGTGGGATTGACCGTCACATTATAACGCCCCCACGGCTGAACGGGCGAGCATGTTTGGTGGGACTAGGATTCGAACCCGCGACCCTCTGATTGCGAGTCGAGCGCCCTAACCACCTGGCCATGCCGGGCCTATTCTCTAATAAACATATTGAAACGAAAATCGCGGATTGGAAGAAAAAAATTCAAGAGCGTTTTACAAAGACATAACAATAATCAGGCTAAACCTTACTCACAACCCCACAAGAACAAATAGCCCTTAAAAAGCTTTGAAAAGAATCTGAAAAACGCAAAGGTTTTGTGGTTATGAACAGTACAAGTTAGGTACAAAAAATTTTGGATCACCCAAAAGATGATAATTAAATTTTACATATTGGATCACCCAAAAGATGATAATTAAATTTTACATATTGGATCACCCAAAAGATGATAATTAAATTTTACATATTGGATCACCCAAAAGATGATAATTAAATTTTACATATTGGATCACCCAAAAGATGATAATTAAATTTTACATATTGGATCACCCAAAAGATGATAATTAAATTTTACATACTTCATAGTGACACCACTAAAAAGATTGAGACAAAAGTAAGACATTATTTACGAACTTAAGAAGAAAACAAAGTAACATTCCTAAGAGCTAAAAGATGAACTTAAATCCTCTAATAGCCGCATTCCAGAATTATACGGTTAACCAAAAGAACATAAACCTGTCAGTTGCTGGAAATGTTTTTGTTGTCTTTCAGAACTTGGTGTGTATACTGGAGGGATTTAGATATTTAGTACATATACTAGCCCTGAAGAAGCCGTAAAGACGAAATATCGGTTAAAATAAAAGTTATCTTTATAATTACCTGGAGTGTAAAGTCGCTTTTTTTCTCTAACTTTATTATCATAAACTGGATATACCACTAAGATTCATAGTCTCAGCATATGGTAGTGCCACTGAAAATCTGTCTTGGCTTATGCATACGATTTTAGTGCCCTTACTACTACTGTACTACAAGACGTGCTATCGATGATAAAGAATGTATCTCACAGAATGACGGACACGACAATACTCTTTACAGTAGATGTTATATTTGTCTACCCATCTATACGTTCAGAAAATGGCTGCACGATGGGCTATCTGTGCTCTGTCCATCACGGGTATCGAAACCCGGTTTCTAGCGTTGTAAGTTTGTTGAAAGTTAAGCCCAAAGCTACACAATGGGCTATCTGTGCTCTGTCCATCACGGGTATCGAAACCCGGTTTCTAACGTTGAAAGTTAAGCACAAAGCTGCACAATGGGCTATCTGTGCTCTGCTCACCAAGGTTATCAAAACCCGGTTTCTAGCGTTGTAAGTCCGCAGACATACCGCTGTGCCACTAGGAGGCCATTCCTAACAAATTTCGTAAACAATTTAGAGATGTGTAGATAGTCAGAGACATCTTATATTCTGTCCTTCACGATTGATATTTTCGTTTTGACAATAAATTGTATATCCAACTAAGTGGTGTCGCAATGAGTATTCGAGTTGCTGTTGTTTATGCCGCGACGTCAAGATACCAACACCAGCCCTGATCTCTGGTTTAGATATATCGAAAACGAGTTTGTTACGGCTTTGAAAACATCCCTCTTTAATCACATTTCTAGACTTTCCGACATCCAGTTCACCCATTTCAATAATGACATGTGCACACATTTTATTGTCGTCATTTTAATGGTCGATAAAGATAACAGTATAAAATATACGTTGTTTCCTAAACAACATTTTTCTAACTCCAACTTCCATCATCCAAAAGCTTCCGAGAAAAATGTAATTATTGGAAAATTAAAAAAAAGCGATCACGTATTTTGAACAGGGTATAGCCGTTCAAGGACTACGCAGAACTTAGCATCACGCCAGATCGAACAACTACAACCACTGATGAATAACGAAGATGGCGCCTATGTGTATAATTATTATAAATTTTGTTATTTCAGTTTACTGCAAACAAAGTAACTATTTGAACAATAAGCTGTACTACTTAACCTGTCAAACGCACGTTACAGATTCGATTAGAGGCCCGGCATGGCCAAATGGTTACGGCACTCGACTCGCAATCTGCGGGTCGCGGGTTCGAATCCACGTCACCGAACATGTTTGCCCTTTCAGCCGTGGGAGCGTTATAATGTGACGGTCAATCCCACTATTCGTTGGTAAAAGACTAGCCCAAGGATTGGCGGTGGGTGGTGTTGACTAGCTGTCTTCCCTCTAGTTTATCTCTGCTGAATTAGGGACGCCTATCGTAGATAGCCCTCGTGTAGCTCTGTGTGATGTTCATTCAATACAAACCAAATCTGAAGAAGCTGTAAGGCGAAACGTTGAGTGTCCAATTAAAAAGAAAAATTGTGTTATAAGGTCTTTTAATCACTAGTATTAAAACAACAAATGCTTACATCAAATATACGTTAATGTAACAAATGTAAGGACAAAATGATACTCTGCTCCTCCGCAATAACTGTGGATCAGGGCAAAACAGTAAAGTATCGATCCTCCGCAATAACTGTGGATCAAGGCAAAACAGTAAAGTAACACTCCTCAACAATAACTGTGGATCAGGGTAAAACAGTTAAGTAGCGTTCCTCCGCAATAACTGTGGATCAAGGCAAAACAGTAAAGTAACACTCCTCCGCAATAACTGTGGATCAGGGTAAAACAATTAAGTAGCGCTCCTCCGCAATAACTGTAGATCAGGGTAAAACAGTTAAGTAGCGTTCCTCCGCAATATCTATGGATCAGGGCAAATCAGTAAAGTAGCGTTCCTCCGCAATAACCGAGGATCAGGGCAAAGCAGTAAAGTAGCGCTCCTCCGTAATAACTGTGGATCAGGGTAAAACAGTAAAGTAGCGCTCCTCCGCAATAACTGTGGATCAGGGCAAAACAGTAAAGTAGCGCTCCTCCGTAATAACTGTGGATCAGGGCAAAACAGTAAAGTTAGCTGTTTTATATTCATTATGTTTTAATAATATAAATTGTTTAAGTCTCGTTTTTTGTACACTTTCCAAACGGCTATAAAAGACAAAAAAAAACTTAGGAATATGTAGTTGAAACCAATAAGAAATAAAACTTAAACGAAATTTGAATCGTATCGTAATGATACAGAGAATTTTGATGAAACAATAAGTGAAATTTCTTTCCTTAGGTAGCTTTTTCTGCTACATAAAAAAATGATCAATTACACCCCATGATAATTATGTTTGGTTAACAATTATATAAAAAAATGATCAATTACACCCCATGATAATTATGTTTGGTTAACAATTATATAAAAAAATGATCAATTACACCCCATGATAATTATGTTTGGTTAATAATTATAATTATTTTAGGTACTATTACAAAAGCCAAGTGCTTCTTCCAGTGTTTGGTCGACGGCTGGTTTACAAGTTTGGGCCCAATGCTACAGGCTGGAGGCTACAAGAGGCGGATCTGTCCTACTAACTCCTCTTACGATTGGAAACCACTGAAACCGAATATTTGGATTTTAGTTGTGTAAAATCGTGGAAACAAATAGTTATTAAAAAATAATAATTTTCAAGCAGCATGAATGTATAAAAAAAAACATTCGTTTCTTACATGGTTTGCAAAGTACGAAATATCCTGAAGAAAAATAAGAACGGTCTTAATTACAATTATTTTAAAGTTTCAACTAAAATATATAGGACTCAATATCGCACATATACAAAAACATTGATATATATATATAAGGAATGTTACATATATTTTATCAAAGTTTAGTAGTTTTTTTTTTCAAATAAATCTGTAGATTATGAAATGTGTTGTAGGAATATAATTGTATGAATATGGGTATTATAGATTAGACATTAGTGTATAAACAGTAGTATGTATATTTTCTATGTTCTTCGTTACCACGTTGATATATTTACTCTAAAACCTTATAAGGAGAGCCAAAGAGCATTTTCAAGGTTGAAAGTATAATTGATTCAATAATGCTGAATAAAGACTGGCCATTTGTTGAATATAAATATATATTTGTATAAAACTGTGATATGGTTATTCGTAAAACTACGAGTTTGTTAGTTATTAATGGTAAGAAACATGTCTGATCTTGTATGTTTAGATCGTTGATTTTAACTTTTTGTTATTGCCTACTGAGTCGGTAATATTTTTTTTTTTACTGGTTGGTAGAATATGTATTGTATCAAATATATCATCAACGCTAGTATTTCTTTATTTCTGTTTGCTCTACTTGGCCCAAAAGTTTAAAGTATTTTCAATTGAATTATGATGTCACACTCGTATTGGTTTGTTAGAGATATAGTATTTGTCTGTGAGAAATATACCATTGATCTGTTAGAGATACATCATTGATTTGTTAGAGATATACCATTGGTTTCTGAGAGATGTAACATTGGTTTCTGAGAGATGTGCCATTGGTTTCTGAGCTATATATCATTGGTTTATAAGAGATGGAGCATTGATTTGTTAGAGATATACGATTGGTTTCTGAGAGATGTACCATTGGTTTCTGAGCTATATATCATTGGTTTATAAGAGATGGAGCATTGATTTGTTAGAGATATACGATTGGTTTCTGAGAGATGTACCATTGGTTTCTGAGCTATATGCCATTGGTTTATAAGAGATGGAGCATTGATTTGTTAGAGATATACGATTGGTTTCTGAGAGATGTACCATTGGTTTCTGAGCTATATGCCATTGGTTT